GATTGTTATTGTCTAAGTCCTACTTGTCAGTATTTTAACACAGGGTGCCTACTGAACCTATTCAGCCATTTTGATCAGTGTGAGAAAAAAGTTTACTCTCATGAAAAGGGGAGGACAGAATGTGAAAAATAAGCCTGTTTACCCATATAGACATAAAACACACACACTAAGGAAAAACTAAGGACAAGAAATTTAAAAGAAAGCTGTCATATTTGTATTGGACGTGTCTTTGCAGACTGTGATTTGGAGCATTCAATGAGCACCTGATATTGAAATTACCTCATAATTCTCACAGCTTAGTAGACCAGAAAACTAAATACAAAAATGCATAAACAAGGCAATGGCAGGTATGCAATACTACAGGGCAAAGGGCCTGCTGGGACGCTGAGGGAGTCACAGCAATCCTTTCTCACCAGTCCTTGCAATCACACCAGAAAGATTCCAGACGTGTTGCTTGGAGTAGCAGGCATGAGTTTATTAGAAAGGACAGGAAAGGGGGATACTCTCAAGGAAGAGGGTGGGTCCTTTCAGAGATGACAAAGACAATGTGTATGTACCTCCTGCCTTCCAATTTTTTTTTTTTTTTTTTTAAACTGAGGATCGGATCGAACCCAGGGCTTTGTGATTGAGAAGCAAATGCTTTCCAATGAGCTACATCCCAGTGCCTGTCCTCCAGTTTTATTGAGAACCCCAGGAAGGTTTTTAGAGTCCCACCCAGGTCCACCTCTTGACTATTGACAGCCCAGGAACTACAGGACCCACTGGAAAAGAGAAGGGTGTTGCCCTTAGAGTTGAAATTAAGGAAATTGAGTCTCCCTGTTTTTGTCACAATTTCCTACCTCCTTAATTGGTGTTTTACTCTTTGAATAGCTCTCAGCAAACTTTCTTTGTGAGGGTCTTGATGTTTTGGTTGCAAGGGTGATTGGGGGTTGTGACATAGGGAGGGTCCAGGTCACCTGGTAGGGTGTGACCTGATCTTGTAACAATAGCTTTTCTTAAGGTGAGGTCATTGTGGCTAATTAACATACCAAGCCCCCCACCCCCTTCAAGGACTGACAGTCCTGCAAGGCTCCCTGTGGTTTTCAATCACCCTTGCCCTCACCCATGAAAGGTTGACTAGCTACCTAACAAGTACTAAAGGATTACATATGGTAGAGAAGAAGCAAAATTTAACCAGTGACAAATCAACTCCATTTTGAAGATTAGTATAGCCGATCCAAGTATGTTCACTTTGTACATATGCCACTGCACACATTCAGAGGCCTCTTAAGCTGACAAACCTAGGATTCCATCAAAGAACACCAGACAAAAGAGCAGCAAAAAAACTCTCTGGTCAAATTTAAACCTTAAACATATTACTCATAGCAAACCATCCCAGTTCTGAATTAGGAGCCAAATTCTTATTAATTCAACATCTATTCTAACAAGTATGTTTGTTAGTATGTCTATTTGAACACAGGACATCAAATGGGGAATTAGGGCCAAAAAGTAACAATTGTGAGAAGAGAAATCAGAATATGAGGGAGGATACCGGAAAACATAAAACATGAAGATGAAAGTCCTAGCAAGCTGAGATCCTGTGAAGCACAATCACACTTCAGCAGTCTGCCAAGCTTCACAGCAATAAGCCCACGACTACAGGAGAGCCCTAGACACCAAGGGCAGATTGAACTACATTCAGCTACTTTGTAAAGGTGAAGTCTTAAAGAATTTCATCCAAAGTAGTTACTGTGTTTTATTTTATATTTTACACATAAATTGACTGCTCAATTATTTAGAAAACTCAATTGTTAGAAACAAGGGAGGCTAGATAAGGTTTTACTATGACTAATCTGATAACAGTGAATTATCTCTCTGACCTTTATTCATACACAATTGTCGCTGACCTAATTTACACCAGGAGGAAATATGACGTTTTCCCTAACACATTTGTTTTGATCTGATTCATACTACTTGCCATGGCTCCATTGACCAACGGCACAAGCATGCAGTCATTATTACTGAACACAACAGCCAGAAAGCATGCTTGAAATCCGTCCAACATTTCCTTCCCAACCAGGCGAATGAGAAAGTAGAACAAAATCAGAACTGTTTATAGACTGGACTTGGGATGAGTGCATCATCCCCTTAAACCAAGCCAGAGCAAATCTCCTGGAACAAGGCATAAAAATCACTTCAGATTAATCAAAGTTCTATATTTTAAAAAACTTATCTAGGTTCTATTTATCAAATGTTTGAAAGATGATACAAAAGGTAAAATCTATACATTCTAACTTTTGGTTTAAAAAACTATTTCATCAATTATAGAACTCAGGGCAGGGATGTGACTTAGTGGTATAGTATATGCTTACCATACACAAGTACCTGGGGTTTCTAGCAACTCACTACTTCACTGTCTTTATTTTCCCTCAAATTCATTTCTTCATTCAATAATTTCTAAACACCTACCTCTCCTTGCTATTGAGTTGCAATTCAGGGATCCAACAGGGAATACAATATAGCCTATACCTAATAAACTAAGTAAATCTAGGCAATAAAGCTGAATTAAATGTCAACTAGTTTCTCAGTGTTTCTTTGAGTTACAGACACTGAAGGAATATAAAAAAATGAATCTAGACTTATGATTTCAGGTGACAAATGACTGTTACATGTGAATATGCTACATATTTGACAAATACACTTCAATCAGTCCAGTATATTTACCTAGTTTCTTACTTTGCTGTTATGATAATTCCACAGGCTGGCTAATTTACAATGAACAAAGATTCAGCTCACTGGGAAGTCCAGTAGCTGGTGTAAGCATCATAACATGGTGGAGGGCATCACATGGTAAGACTGAACAAGATGCCCCAAAGAGCTTGCTTTTATGATAAAGCCATTCCTTGGATAACTCGTTAATCCAGGAAGACCCAATTATGGCCCAAAGCTCCCACCTCCAAATACCATTAGGGTAAAACTTTGGGGATTCAGTTTCCAACACTCAAATTCTGGGGGACACCCAAACCACACCACCTACAAACCAAATTATCAGCTGTTCAAAGACCCAAGATTTATTTTTCTTTTCTATTGCCTTTCTTTCCTATGAGCTCCCTGAATATCACAATAAAATTTTAAGAGTTTAGCTCTCTATTCTTTCAGGGAAAAGGAACAAAACACATAAAGCAAAACAGTGAGATTATCTCAAGATCCTGGTTTTGTTTTACAATACAAATATTATGAAACAAACATTTCGACATTAAGACTATTTATCCAAACTGAAGCTAACCAATTCTGATATTCATGGGGACCCTAAAGCATTAAAGGCATTTTTTCTCCTCTATAAAATGTGGCTTCTGTGAAAAGCTTTGTACCTAATGGAAATTCTGCTATATTAAAGTATGTGAACTGCAAGTTTAGAAAAAACATGACTTAAGTTTCACATGCCCATGTCTTTGTGACACTTATCAATAGTAGTTTAATATTCACTTAAATATACTAAAAATGAGTCTTAGCTTAGAGAAAACATTTGAATGGAAAACAATTTGGATATTAGATTTTTGCCAAAATATTGAAGTACTATAGCTTTTAGTTTTTAAATTAAATAGTAATCAAATAATTATACTATTATTTGCATCATAGTTTTAAATATAAGTACCTCTTCAATGAAATTCTGAAATTAATAGTATGATTTTTCTTACTAATACCTAAAAACACCAGTAGGATTTACTTAATAGATTTTTATTCTCCTGTACATTTTTAAAAAATATTTTCTTATTGTCAATGTACTGTATTTATATATGGTGCTGAGAATCTAACCCAGTGCCTCATACATGCTAGGCAAGCACTCTACCACTGAGCCACAACCCCAGCCCATCCTGTATCATATTTTATGGGGAAGTAAACTTAAAATTTTATCTTAATCACAACATCACCCACCTCCTTTATAGTTTTGAGTCTTGTGGCTGTTCTGTAAGAGTAACTGAAGGAATGGATCCATTTAATAACTCTGTTTGCTTAAAGTAAAAAAGAGTTAACCACATTTCTACCTCTTGAATTGTTTAAGTCTTTGGTGATTCAGGCCTACTACAGTTAACATAAGGAATACATTTCCTCTTCAAAAAACAAAACAATGACAAACTATAGAAAGTGAATGGGAAAGACGTCAGTTAACATTTAAGCTTTTGACAATTTTTTTTAAATTTTCTATTCTCGATAACCATCTACATCCTTCCAAACATGTGGTTAAACAATGAATTCAAACTTAGTTGTGCCTATAACCATGTTGTTGATCAACTGGAAACAAAACAATTCAAACTGCTTTTATTCTGCAAGACACATCCTAACAAAATACCTGAGACTGTAGAATTTATAAACAAAAAAAATTTGTTAGTTCCCCATCTGGTGAAGGCCATCTAAGGATCCTCATATGCCAGAGAGCAAAAAAGCCAAAAGCATCTAAGCCCTCTTAAAGACACTAATTTATTCATGAGGGTAAAATTAAGTTTCAACACATGAATTTTGGAGGGAACACAAACTGTAACTTGCACTTTTCAACTAAATCTGGGAACACATCTTAACATAGATCCCCATTATCTCAAAGAGGCCAGACTAGAAAAAAATTAGGACAATGCGGTGGTTACTCTTTAAAAACAAACAAGCAAACAAAGTTAAAATCTATGCTGAAAGTGAGTGAAACAAAAAATTTTGACTAAATAACAAACTAGACATTATACTGGTGAACACAGAACTTGCACTTCCCTGTTCATTAGCCAATCGGCCCATAATTTTAGATAAAAATTATAATTAGAAATAATGAGAGCAATTTCTTGAGTTACTCCACCTTTAAATTATATTTCATTGAGACTTACCCTTTGAAATTACTAATGATTAAACCTATCCTGTTCATGTGAGAATTTAGGAAATCTCTCATACTTCTGTGGCATTTTTACACATGAAAAAAATCGTGCATTTAAGAAAGGTTTCCACAGTAATCACAGTTCAAAAACCACTCTACCCAAAAAGACATTGTAAAAGTGTGCATTTTATTCATTCATTCCATCAGCTGAGAATTGCTCTAATGTACAAATACAGAATTGTACAAAAAAATCACAAAATGTTACAAAATAAAAAAGTACAAACTGCATTACTTAATAAATATGACTAAAAGTAGTTAAAGTTGCAATGAGATAGATTTTAGGTTGGAAACACTGTTTGACCCAGCAAACCTTATAAGCTCTGTTTGCAGACATTTTTACATAATACATGGCAATCCTACTTAGGCTTTTGGAAGAACTTAAAAGGAACACAATATTAAGAGTATTCTCCTGCTATAAAATAACTGCCAAGGTTGGGTCCAGACATTTTGCTATTAGTTTTTTTTTCTTAGTTGAATCCAAGTAGATATAAAAGAAAGTATATAAAGCAGGAGGCCTATCTTGTCCCAAAATTTTATACCATGTTAAATTATTTTGTAACAAAATGACACATGTAAATAAAAACAATGGAGAGCACCAGACAATCTACTCTAAACATTAACAAGAGTACAGAATCATCCTTCTGCCATCAGCAAATATCAGACTTTCATTCAAGTAAGACCTGGTACTATCCCTTAAAGGTTAAAAAAAAAAAAAAAAAAAATCTCCCCACAGCCATCCCTTAAGCATTTTTCTTTATAAAGACTGACCATTTCTAGAAAAATAACAATTAAAAAAATCTATTACATCAAAATGGAATGGGCCAATCATCTGGTAACATGAATGCATCAATATCAATTTGAAATAATTATGGAAGAATTGTGAAATTCAAATTTCAACAACATAAAATAACTACTAAATCACAAACTCACTTCAAAGTAATACATTTTATATAAAGCATTTCTCTGGATTTATGCTTGAAAGCTGTCTGTCAAAATGGAACACATCATAGATGAAGGTAACACCATTTTTAAAAATGTTGTGCAAAAATACGTTTTTATAGAAAATAGACTACCAGGAATGAACAAATTTACACTGTGAGAAATTAACTTGCAAATTAAGTAGTGCTCACTTTATACAGCAAATTATAAATAGCAGATCACCCAAAGCTATCATGAAACAAATCATTTAGGTGCCCAGCAACCTTCAGCTCTGAGAAAACATTCAAAAAATGATTAAGGCTTTACACCTACAGTAAATCTACTAGGAAGTTTAAAAGTGCTGTTACCCTGATTTAGAGTTCATGTGATTTTCCAAACACAAGTTATATACGCAATTTCCCCAGGGTGTAAGGTTTTCAGACATTTCAAGAGCATGCATTTTGTTCAATATACATCTTGGATAGGGATATGGCCATGGATTTGGCAAGTTCTTCATCGCGTTTTCTTTGCACTTGAGTTTGTTTGCACCAATTGTCATACTCTGGGTTAGGATAGGAGTGATCAAAAACTGCATCATAGTGTCCATTGCTGAGCCAGCTGAGCCAAATACTAGGCCTTAGGGAATCCTCTGGGCCCAAATAGTGAATCATGGTTGATACTGTGGGGCTCTCCAACCTCCCTCCAGTAGTTAAGTGTATATTCACATTTAGCATCTGCCCCATAGCCAGCAATTCGGGGTACCCGGCCCATGCCCCATCCTGAGCAGCAGCGATGATAAACTCCCCGACGTCGCCCTCAATCAGAGGGCTAAAGTGCTCGAGATGATCGGCAATGTAGTGCACCGTCTGCTCCCTCAGCTCCCGGTGTAGGCTCTGATCCCCGTACACGGTCTTGCTGACAGCTCGGTAGAGGCAGTTCCCGTCGGGAATGATATGGAATCGGTACTTGTTCCTCTGTCGCAGGTACTTGTCCTGCTTCTCCACCTCGGCCAGGTATAGGGCTAGCTTCTCATCTCTGGGATCCGACCTGGAGACCACCACCGTCTCGGCTCCGCTACTCTGGGTCACCTCGCTGCTCCGTGCAGGGGGAGCTTCGGTCTCCAGGTCCAGCCGTCGCGCCGTCTCGGCGCCGGGAGAGTCGCTGCGGTCGCCACCTCTCTCCCACCCCCGGGGAATCCTCTCCGCTCGGTGTTCCTCACCCCACGGGCTGGGGCTGGGCTCCGGGCTCCCCGGGGGCGGCGCAGAGCCTCGGTGCTTGGCTGCGGCCAGGGCCTGGCGGTGCTCGCTCAGTCGGAAGTTTCTATCGGGTCCCTCCCGGGCTGCGTCCAGCCCCGCGGGCTCGGGACAGTCGGGCCTCAGCAGCTCCTCCAGGAGCCAGGCCGAGGAGCCCCGCCGCGGCGGCACCGGGGCCCCGGGAGCCTGGGCCAGCAGGAGGCAGCGACCGCGCGGGTTGGCGCTGGCCGCGGCGCCGGAACCCGGCTCGGGCCCATGCAGCAGGAGCCTGTCGGCGCCCAGGGCCCGCACGGTGATCTGCGCCGTGGACGTGTAGTGCGGCGGTAGCGGCGGCTTGCAGGACGCGCCCGCCGGGCCGGCGGTGGCTGCTGAGGCGGGGGCGGCGGCCCCGGACACCATCTCAAAGCAGGAGGAGAAGGCGGGCATCTTGGCGGTGGGGGCGGCGGCGGCTTCCCGGGGCTCGGCGGCCGCAGCGGGCTGGCACTCACCGGTCTCGGGCTCTGGCGCGGCGCTGGCAGGTCCCGGGGGTTGAAGAGAGACCTTGAATGGGGCGGCGGCGGCAGGCGGCGCGGGAGTTGCGGCCGTGGGACCTGGTCCCCCAGCTGGGTAGTGAGTGCAGACGCTGCTGTAGAGCTGCATGTCCCTGCCCGCCGCTCGGCCCCTTATAGGCGCGGCGAGCCCCGGTGCAGGGGACACACCCTCAGGGCCTGGAGGAGGGGGCCGGCTGAGCGCGATGACCCAGTGCCCCTAGAATAGATATGACCCAAGGACTGTCGGCCGCCGCGCGTCAAGAGCCGCAAATAGAGACCGGGTCCGGGCCAAATTCCTGCTGCGCCACAGCGCGCGGTGGGGGCGGGGAGGGGACGCGCGCTCGACCCCTGCCGGCGCGCTCGGCCCGCAGGCCCGGGGCGCCGCGCCCGCTGCCGCTGTTCCGGCCCTAGGCAGCCGCTGGGGACTGTCGGAGAAAGCCACCCGCGCTGCTGGAGCGCGTCCCGCCGGCGAGCAGGAGTGCAGGGCGCGCGGAGGGCCGGGAGGCGGGGCCGCGGTTGTTTACCTCAGGCCGTGCGGCCGCGTCACGTGGGCCCGCTGGAATGTGCGGCTCGTCAAGGCGCCCCATTCAACTGCGCGAGCTCGCCCCGCCCCCTTCGGCCCGCGCCCCGCCCTCTCTGGCCCTTGTCCCGCCCCGCCTTGCTCTGCGGACGTCATGGGCGTGGCCGCCGGCAGGGGCGCAGGCTGAGCTGGGCGGGGGAAGCCCTGAGGCTCTGGGGCATGCGCAGTCGTGGTATTCCTGACTGCTGTCCACGTGACAGCTAAGCACTACTTTGGTTACCTGAGCCAGTCATTTCTGGGCTGTGCCACTTTGTACTGCTGTTTGGGGCTGTGGTGGGATGGCCAACGTTTACAAAAATTGCACTTCGAAGCAAGCATCGGAGCAAGGCACTGCCTTAAAATCTGTATGGGCTTTTTCTGGTCGTGGGCCATCATTCCTGCCTGCATTCACCACTGCCTGGGATTCACTTATCTAGGTCGTGTTCTCTGCCGGATCTACAGGAATTTTGCTGCCCTACTCAGTGGAGACGAACTTTTCTGTCCCCCTAACTCATGTTAACTGGGAAATACATGGGTGAAAGGAAGGAAGCCCATACAGCCTTTCTCAGAATACCAAATGTCATGCCGCTTAGGGTCTTTTGAGAACCAGTGGGGCTGGAGCATAGGTCAGAGGCACTTGAGAGGGTAGTGGCCTGCATTGGCCTGCGGAGAAGAATAAAGTAAACACTAATGCCCGACCATGTTATTAGTAACCAGTTTTGTAAAGGAAAGCCAGAATATTCTGTGAACTGAAGTTTCTCCCTGGAAGTGTAACAGGTGTTCACTTGATGTTTTGACTGTATTACTTGTGGCGGTGTAAGTTTCAGGTTTTGTTCTTTTTCCCAGTCTTCTTTTCCCTAAACTTCTCGCTGATCTTCTTTCCCCTGATCTTCTCCTTCCTGTTCTCCTCCCTAATCTCATTTTCTCTGAATCACCTCTATAAATGCCCCCCGTTCCTGCGGATGGGCAGAATCACGGCTTTTGGGGCAGGAGTCCTCTGTTTCTCCTCTGCTAGCCAAGCAGTAAATCATCTTTTTCTCAAAACGATTGGATTGGCATTGGAGACAAGGACTGAGAGCTATCAAAAGGATGTGTTTTTATTTAAGAGCTCTTTATTATTAAAATTTCACTGATGTAGCCTTGTAACCTTGTACTAGTGTTAGAAATTAAGAAGCCTAAATTGTACTGAGCTATTTTAGGCCCTTTTACAACCATTTCCTCTATTATCAGCCTCTGTCTGACTTAGCATGTGTGTGTGTGTGTGGTGTGTATGTTGTTAACTTGTGTTCCTTGGGCCTGGTCATTCATAGTCATTCATGTTGTCTAGGAAGTAATTGTTTCCTTGTGTCCTCAAAGCAGAGGTTTTTTTTTTTTTTTTTTTTTTTTTCCATTGACAATTCATGGGATCAGCCATTTGCTGCCTATGGTATGGATAGGATTTTGCTCTATTCTGAGCTTTGATCAGATGCTAAGTTTATCAGCTCTCAGCACTCAAATTGAATTTAGGAGGCTATCATCATTTTAAAGATGGGGAGGCATCCTTTAGGTTATGGAGAACATCACCTTTCAGCTGGACCATGAATTCCATAGATGGAAAGACTTTCTTGTTCTCAATTGAATTTTTATCCCCTGGCACACAATGGAGCTAATTAATATTTACTGAATGAATGAATAAACAGAGAATTCGTTCCCAAGGTTTCTCAGAAAGTGAAGCCAGAATTCCTATCCAGGTCTCTTGACCCTCACCAGGCTTTCGGTTTGCCATGGGGAAGAAGACTGGCAAGATCCCAGCAGCAGCTGTTTGCTCAGTTCACTCAACCTAGTGGGTAAATTACTCAGGAGAAGGTAAACAATGTCTAACCATCTTTTCAAATTCTGCTGATTACCTCATTTGGGGCCTAGGACTAACTAGAAAAGGGAAATTACTTAGATGCTGTCCCAAATTTGTTCAGTATCCATTGCTTTGCACATTAAGCGTCACACAAACTCTGTTCTTTCAATAGCTGAGGTTTTGAACAAGAAAATACTATTAATAATAAAATCACCCTCAAATAATGTTTACTGAGAACCCACTGTGCCTATCTGGGCTAGCATAACAAAAGCCTGAAGAGAAATAAAGGAAATATTAAAATTTAGATGCTAAGGCAGAAATGTGTTTTAACAGGCAAGAGTTAAGCACAGGTAAATAGAAGAAAAAAACTAAGTACACAGAAGCCAAGCCATGTGTCTGATGTACCAAGTTAGGAACAGATAAATACAAACAAAGATGTGAAAATATCAAATTTATAATAAACAAGGACTCCTCCCCCTTTTGGTTTGCATAAGAGTGGTAGACTTTGCAAAACCTTGAATTCACCATGGGAATCAGTGTCCACTCCATATCTCAGTCTGAAAGGTGTTCCTGGAGGAAATGACACTTCAGAAAACCTTCAAAGCAGGAATGATGATGGCCCTTGGAAACAGAAGGTTTGTTTTCTGTGCCTGGAGGATAAGGCAAGGCCAGTCCTTCCAAGTGATGTCAAAAAGAGAGTGGAAAATCTGATTCCTTGAGCAATCTCCCTCATACTCACTTGAAAAGACTCTTTTTTCCAATGTGAAAAGTTTAGGTATACACACAAGAAGCAACTATTATTAGGTCAGCAAAAGTATGACATTGGAGTAAACAAGACCCCCATGGTCCCTACCCTCATGAAGATTCCAGATAATGATTAGGATTAGGTTTCTAGAAGTAAACACCATTGAAATATAGATTCTCAGAGAAAATGTATTCTCTTACATCATATTTGCATCTGAACGTTGTAAGCTGCTTCACTAAACTTGTATAAGGGCATTAGGAATCTTGCAAGATGGAATTTCTTTCATAATGCTTTGGGCTTTTGCAAAGCATGACTACCTAGGTAAATCATGGTGAAAATGTCATGCAAGCAGCAAAGCAATGATAGAGAACCAAACTAAAGTTCCAGTCAGTTCTCTTACAACAAGATAATACCAAAAGCAATTTTGTGGGGATGAGTGAATTCACATAATTCTCTATAATTATGTGATTAAAATTAATATACATGGAAAAATTGTTACACAATTGGAAAAATTGAAGAGTTATGAGTATTGGGGAGGAGGGGTTATTTTGGATGGTTCATAGAGCTTAGAGATGGCTCCTCCACTATAAGCTCTTCAGGAGAAAGGTCACAAAACTTAGCATAGAATAACTGTTAAAGTTCTTATGATAAACTATACATTAAAAACAGGGGAAGAGGGATCCTGTACGGTGGCACATGCCTGCAATCCCAGTGTCTCGGGAGGCTGAGGCAGGAGGATTGTGAGTTCAAAGCCAGCCTCAGCAAAAGTAAGGTGCTAAGCAACTAGGTGAGACCCGTCTCTAAACAAAATACAAAATAGGGATGGGGATGTGGCTTAGTGGTTGAGTGCCTCTGAGTTCAATCCCCAGTACCTGCTCCCCCTGCAAAAAAAGAAAAGGAAAAATTGGGGTTGAGGATGTAACTCAGTGATAGAGCACTGTGCCAGAAAGCTGAGTCCTCCATCTTGATTATAAACATTAAGTATATCCAATTAAGCTAAAGAAATTCCTAATGATTCCATTCTGGAAAATCCTCTATCTAGCATATTTTTGTTCTGGGCAGAAAATTGGCAGAAGTTTAGGAAAATAGGATTCTAAACTAAATTTATTTAGTTATTGAGTAGGCTGGATTTAGAAAAAGGAAATGTTTGTAATTCTTAATTAAAGGATGGAAACAAGAGAACCAGTAGGTTAAAACAAAACAAAAAGAATAAGGTATTAATCACTGAGTGTTTATGGAAAACAGCTATGCTGCTAGCATGGGGCCAATTATAGAGAATTCAAAAACAGATTTTTTATGCAGCCCAGGTAGCAAAAACCTAGCCACCAAGGCATTTTATAAAATAGACCCAATCCTGGTATTGTTTTATAAGGTACATATATCTTCCTCCCTGAAACAAAACTTCTAAAAATCTTAAATGTTCATCCATTAATCATTTCTTTATAAGCCTACTATGAAAAACAATCTTGAAAAAGGAAAAAGTTGGAGGATGCATGCTTCCCAATTTCAAAACCTAGCTACAAACCTACAGTCATGTCTATATGCTACTGGCTTGAAGATAAACATATAGATCAGTGGAATAGAATTGACAGTCCAAAAATAAGTTCATATACTTATGGTTAATTGACTTTTGACAGTGTGCCAAGACAATTCAGTGGGGAAAGAATTTTTTTTTATTTTATTTTATTTTTTTTTTTGGTGGTGCTGAGGATCAAATCCAAGGCCTTATGCAGCTGAGGCAGGCACTCTACCAACTAAGCTATATCCCCAGCCCAAGAATAGTCTTTTTTAACAGATTGTGCTAGGACCACTGGAAGAAGAAGAAGGAGAAGGAGGAGGAGGAGGAGAAAGAGGAGGAAGAACCGCCACCACCACCTTCTGTTTCATAACATGAACAAAATTTAACTCAAGCCAGGTGGTGTAGCTAAGGAGAATCCAAAGTTTTAAAAGAGAAACATTTTTTACAGTACTGGGGTTTGAACCCGGGGTTCAATGCATGAAGCACTTTATCACTGAGCTACATTCCCTGGTCCTTTTATTATTTTATTTTGAACGGTCTTTTGGTCTTCACTATGCTACACAGGTTGGCCTCAAACTTTCAATCCCAAGAATGTATCTCAGTGGTAGACCACTTGACTAGCATGTGTTAGACTTTGG